TTTTCAGTTGGCGTACTTGATCTAACGTTAGTTGACCACACCCTCAGCCCTTACGCTGACACGACTGGTAAGAAAACATTGTTAATATGTTTTCAGGTTTATCAATATAATAATAATAAACTTGATTTCTTCATTTTAATGCATCTATCTTTTTACGTTTGCTTTTAATTACTTTTAATTTAATTTTTAATTCGATTTTTTATGCGATTGTTATGGAAGTCAATTTCCACATCATGTTTTGTAGATCATAATAAAAAGTCAAAATTATGACATACAATCATTTATGGATTACAAATTAAAAGTCAAAATTGACATAAATAGTAAAAATTATGACATAGACGTACTAACTAAGGTATGATTATGAGATAAAAAATTATGAGATTAAAAAGTCAAGTTATAATTTTGACATAGCTTTCAAAACGAAATGATGAAATACTAAATTATGAAAATAAGCCAATAATATGAGAAAAGGTCAAAATTATGAGATAAGAAGTCAAATTTATGACATAATAATAAATTATCACATACAATGAGTCATATGAGATTAAAGTTGAAATTATGATTTAAGTTATGACTAATAATAATTATGACAAGTCAGAATTTCATTTTATTACGTCAGAATTTCAAAAATTTAATTCAAAATTTCGACTTGACTTAGTCATGATAATTATAAGCATACTTATGCGGCAGAAAAGGACTTCCACAGATTGTAGTACGAGTCAGTAAAGCACTCGAAATGTTCATTGTGTATGAAACAATGATAATAAACTTTGTTTCGCCCTCTCAAAGGACGTGACGGTGTCACAGGTGGAAGTGCGCAGACAGATATGGCAGGTATTATCTTTGAAATTTTACCAAACATTTTGAATAAATCCACCATGAGTGACTGTAAAAGCAGCATTGGTGTGTAATAACTGTGATCAGGTGTGGCGGGGGATCCGCTGACTGAAGGACAGGCTCAAACAGATGTGACGGGTGAGTAAACAACATGCACACGAGTACTTTAAGTAGGAAATAATTACAACATGCTATTTCCTGTTATTCAGGGCAGGGACAGCTAGCTGTGACTGACGGCATGCCGAATTACACAGGTAACCACGTTTCCTCATCCAGACACATGTCAGTCTATCAGGCCAGGGTTTCATGTGTAGTGTGTGTTTCTGAAAAAGCAGATTCTGTTCATGCGACTGGGACTGGATTTACAGGTGAGTTAACTTTAGTACACACACACACACCACGGTCTGTCTGAATACGGTTTAATGCACAGGTAGTTCTCGCCATTCTATATTAATGCGCTGAAGCAACAAGGGGGTAACTTCGCTGTTTGTGAAGCAATTAAACTTACAGCTTAATTTTAAGTTGAGAGAGTTTCTTGCCGAATATTGTGCTGCGAACAATCAATGATTGTCAATGGCCATGGCTAATCCACGGCTAACTGTGAATTAAACGATTTGAATGCAGCTGTAAGTGCATTAAAATCGTTTAATACAATTACATATAGTATTTAAAAGGGTATATGTAATAATGAGCTTCATTAATGATTTTTCTGGCATATCAATGTTCTTGTCAAACTTTCAGATGCCTCAGAGACACATAGTAGCATGGTTCAGACAGACTTACCAGGTAAATTACGCTTGAAAACCTCTGTCTCATCAGGTGGACTGACTATCCAGGTAAGCTGCCCTTATAAAAAATATACCATGGTAAACATAGTTTCTGCAGAGAATGACAGAAAGTCACCGAAGGCCATTTTGAAGGGAATTGCGGATGATTTCGCAGTACAATAACAATGCTATTTTGCTGGAAACTATGATTACCAAGGTCAGTTTTTGCAAGGGTTCGCTTACAAAGCAGAAATTGTTATAAAACATTATTCAAAAATCAAAATCAACCAAACCTTTCTTAAACTCGACTCCAGTCACAGGGGATCCGTTCACAGGGGTTTCCTCACAGACAGACGCCATTGGCACAGGTGAGTGACACACACACACAAACTACAAGGAAAACATATATTTGCAATTTTTAATTTTAAACTACAGCTGAACCTCAAGTAAGTTTATAACATATCTGCAAATTGCATATTACACACATTCATAACATTAATATTTTTAATCCACAAGGGTTGCATAAAAATGTTATAATGTTGCTGTTGAACTTTCTATTCATAAAAGAAAAAATGTTTTCAAGAATGCTAACAATAAGAACCATTGAGAACCAATAATAATCAAGCTGCAAAACATCATATTAGAGTTATTTCTGAAGGGTCATGTGACACTGAAGGCTGAAATTTCAGGAAATCTAGTGAATTAGAAAATTATTTTAAAATGTAATATTTCACAAGATTTCTGTTTTTACTGTATTGTTGATATACTGCATATATACTGACTATCCAGGTAAACATAGTATATACCATAAACATTTGTACAGTAAATAATGAAATATTAAATTGTACGTATATTTTGTATAAATTGTTTATTTTTGTGAAGCCACACAAAATAGATTCATGTCAAATGTGTTTTTAAATCACACTACATCTCTAAACCTGCTTTACCTGCTAGACTGCACGTTAACAGGGTGACTTCATCCAATCGGTTGTTTTGATCTGAGCATCTCCATATGTCACATGGTTTGTTCTCCTCTTACAGGCCAACCTGATGCTACGGAGCAGACACAGCCAGCTGGTAAGCTTCAATGGAGTTCACTTCACAGTCACATGAATTATGATTCTGATGATGATCCGTATCTCGCTTTCACCTCCTCCGCCATGCCAAAACTGTCATGGATCGTCCATAAACTTGTGAATAAATTCATGTCTGATGGAGATGCTGTGATGATGAACAGATGCTCAACAGCTCTTCTCTTTTCTCTGTTTTGCTTGTTCTGTCCAGTATCAGCAGGTGAACAGTACCACACATCTGGTCAGGGTCCTGAAGGTGGGTCTGAAACTCTCCACACACACACACCGTTTCATGCTGATAAAGCAAAATAAAACAAACGGTCCAAATCATCTCAGAAATATAATATGTTTGAACCTTCATCATAAACAATGCAGATGTAAGGAATTATTTTAAGGTAGACTACTGTTAAAAAGTTTGGATTCGCACAGATATCCGTTGTCCTCGTGTTTCATGAAAGATTCTCGATGAGTTTGGACACCACACCAAAAGCTTAAAGGGATAGTTCACCCAAAAATAAATATTCTGTCATTAAATACTCACCCATAAGTCCTTCCAAACCTGTAAGACTTTCATCTTTAAAACGCAATTGAATATATTTAAATCAAATCTGACTTTTCTGTCCCTCCATTGACAGCTACGCAACTACCTCATTGGTTCTTGCAGAAGCTCAAAAGTGATGCGTAACACGAGAATGAACCACATTGGTTCTTGCTAAAGTTCAAAAGTGATGCGTAATATGAGAATGAACCTCATTGGTTCTCGCTGAAGCTCAAAAGTAATGCGTAATATAAAAATGAACCTCATTGGTTCTTGCTGAAGCTCAAACATGATGCGTAATATGAGAATGAACCTCATTGGTTCTTGCTGAAGCTCAAAAGTGATGCGTAATATGAGAATGAACCTCATTGGTTCTTGCTGAAGCTCAAACATGATGCGTAATATGAGAATGAACCTCATTGGTTCTCGCTGAAGCTCAAACGTGATGCGTAATATGAGAATGAACCTCATTGGTTCTTGCTAAAGTTCAAAAGTGATGCGTAATATGAGAACGAACCTCATTGGTTCTTGCTGAAGCTCAAAAGTGATGCGTAACACGAGAATGAACCTCATTGGTTCTCACGCGTCAAGTGAACATGCTTGAGCTTCTGTTTGTCATAACTGATGTGTGAATTGATGATTGTTTATATGTGAATAAAAGCCTAAATTAAATCGGATCATCAAATAAAGCGATCGAGTCTCTACGGATTCATTTAGGCCTAGTTTTACGATCTTTATAAACTTTTTGGAGCGTCAAAGTGGTAGTTGTGTAGCTGTCAGTGGAGGGACAGAAATCTCTCAAATATCATCAGAATTATCTTTGTGTTCTGAAGATGAACAAAAGTCTTACGGGTTTGTAACGATGTGATGATGAGTAATTAATGACAGAATTTTAATTTTTTGGGTGAACTATCCCTTTAAATCAAAAGCTGCACAATTTTCCAGTAGCACCTCATTGCAGTACACAAGATCCAGGGGGGCGGAGTCAGATCCAGATATGAGGGGTGGAGCTGGGTAGGTTTAGGTATAATTTAAGGTTGGAGGAGTTGGATCTGGATCCGACTCCTCCCTGTGGATTTCATGTCCTGCAGTGAGGACCATCTCCAATTTTCAGCCAGTAAATGACTGTCCTGCTAGCTTGACCTCTGAACTGATCTCTGCGCTTTCTGAAAGGTGCAGAAAATGTGGAACTGGAAGATACCTGCTGACTTCCACATGAAGCCGCGAGTGAGGTTTCTACGCTACAGATTTCAGTGTACGGACCAGTACGCCTGGCAGAGGAACCGTGAACCCGCCCGCTAGACTTTAGGTCTCCTTTGTGTGTGTGTTCGTTTGTTTTATTTTTGACTATTTAAACATTCAGAGGATACTGTAACTTAACTTTTTATTGTGCCTGTTTATAAAAGTGCCCTGTAAGTATTTTATTCATTGGTGCGCAGAAACAAAAATCAAACTTTGAACGAGAAGTCACGATTTAAAACGTATTTTCAGATGAAATGCGCTGTGTAAATTTAATGAAAGTTTCCCCCCCTGTAATGTCGCTACTGTATTTTCTTGCCTAGATGTTGGAGCAATATTCTTTTCAAATGTCACAAATTGTATATTGCTGAATGTATGTCATTTGAAGATAATCTTTACATTAAATTGAACATCTATTTTGAACATCAAATTTTTGTCATTTTACCTGAGAAACACACAACTTTATGAAGAACTCCATGAACATACCAGTTTGAAACAGCTGGTGGTCCAACCAAACCAATCGAAACCAGGATATCCAAGGTGGTCCACCAAACAAACCAGGTTATCCAAGGTGGTCTACCAAACAAACCTGGTTATCCAAGGTGGTCTACCAAACAAACCTGGTTATCCAAGGTGGTCTACCAAACAAACCAGGTTATCCGAGGTGGTCTACCAAACAAACCTGGTTATCCAAGGTGGTCTACCAAACAAACCTGGTTATCCAAGGTGGTCTACCAAACAAACCTGGTTATCCAAGGTGGCCTACCAAACAAACTGGGTTATCCAAGGTGGTCTACCAAACAAACCGGGTTATCCAAGGTGGTCTACCAAACAAACCTGGTTATCCAAGGTGGTCTACCAAACAAACCTGGTTATCCAAGGTGGTCCACCAAACAAACCGGGTTATCCAAGGTGGTCTACCAAACAAACCCGGTCATCCAAGTTGGCCTACCAAACAAACCGGGTTATCCAAGGTGGTCCACCAAACAAACCTGGTTATCCAAGGTGGTCCACCAAACAAACCTGGTTATCCAAGGTGGCCTACCAAACAAACCAGGTTATCCAAGGTGGTCTACCAAACAAACCAGGTTATCCAAGGTGGTCCACCAAACAAACCAGGTTATCCAAGGTGGTCTACCAAACAAACCAGGTTATCCAAGGTGGTCCACCAAACAAACCAGGTTATCCAAGGTGGCCTACCAAACAAACCAGGTTATCCAAGGTGGTCCACCAAACAAACTGGGTTATCCAAGGTGGTCTACCAAACAAACCAGGTTATCCAAGGTGGTCCACCAAACAAACCAGGTTATCCAAGGTGGCCTACCAAACAAACCAGGTTATCCAAGGTGGTCCACCAAACAAACTGGGTTATCCAAGGTGGTCTACCAAACAAACCAGGTTATCCAAGGTGGTCCACCAAACAAACCAGGTTATCCAAGGTGGTCTACCAAACAAACCTGGTTATCCAAGGTGGCCTACCAAACAAACCAGGTTATCCAAGGTGGTCTACCAAACAAACCCGGTTATTCAAGGTGGTCCACCAAACAAACCAGGTTATCCAAGGTGGCCTACCAAACAAACTGGGTTATCCAAGGTGGTCTACCAAACAAACCGGGTTATCCAAGGTGGTCTACCAAACAAACCTGGTTATCCAAGGTGGTCTACCAAACAAACCGGGTTATCCAAGGTGGTCCACCAAACAAACCGGGTTATCCAAGGTGGTCTACCAAACAAACTGGGTTATCCAAGGTGGCCTACCAAACAAACTGGGTTATCCAAGGTGGTCTACCAAACAAACCGGGTTATCCAAGGTGGTCCACCAAACAAACCGGGTTATCCAAGGTGGTCTACCAAACAAACTGGGTTATCCAAGGTGGTCTACCAAACAAACCGGGTTATCCAAGGTGGCCTACCAAACAAACCAGGTTATCCAAGGTGGTCCACCAAACAAACCTGGTCATCCAAGGTGGCCTACCAAACAAACCAGGTTATCCAAGGTGGTCTACCAAACAAACCGGGTTATCCAAGGTGGTCCACCAAACAAACCGGGTTATCCAAGGTGGTCTACCAAACAAACTGGGTTATCCAAGGTGGTCTACCAAACAAACCGGGTTATCCAAGGTGGCCTACCAAACAAACCGGGTCATCCAAGGTGGTCCACCAAACAAACCGGGTCATCCAAGGTGGTCCACCAAACAAACCGGGTCATCCAAGGTGGTCCACCAAACAAACCGGGTCATCCAAGGTGGTCTATCAAACAAACTCGGTCATCCAAGGTGGTCCACCAAACAAACTCGGTCATCCAAGGTGGTCCACCAAACAAACCGGGTCATCCAAGGTGGTCCACCAAACAAACCAGGTTATCCAAGGTGGTCTACGAGGTCCAGCAGCTGAAAGCCGATCTAGATCAGCTAATGACCATAAACTACCAACTAGAAACCATGAAAAATAAAGACAAATAAAACCCAATCTACTTTCAAAAACATTTTATTTGAAACATACCAATACACAAAGTGTTGTTCACATGCGTAATAAAATAATTTATGCCTAGTATCAATGTCTCTCTGGCTATGACAGTCATCCAATGACTAAAAATGATGAGCATCACCAACAATTGACATTCCTCTCCCAGTTCCTCTACTGTGCCGACCATCCAAAAACAAACAAGTGATGAAGTCTATAAGGTCATAGTAGCATGAGTACAAATCACACCAAAAAATACCATTTCAATTCGGTTTCCAAGTTACATAGGTGAATCTAACAAAATGGTCTGGGTAACCTTAATTTAGATTTTGCATACATCAAATGAAGCCTGTTTTTTTTTTCTTAGGACCATGAATGGTTTAAATGTAAAAGTACACTAAAAAGTGTAATTCATATGTCAGTGTTTATCATTTAAAAATATCTGCATGAAATGGAATTGTAAGTGATTTGTTACTTTTTGGAATTAATGAGATTGTCATAAAAAAATAACACCATAATGCAAAAAACTTTGCCCAGCCAAGATCTTCATAAGATTCTCCTATAATATTCTCTACATCCTTTAGTAAAGCAAACAAAAACAAACAAACAAACAAACAAAAAAAGAGATTTAAAGAAAGCAGTGTGTGTCGAAGATGGTAAAGAGTTGAATTATTGCACAAATTCTTTAAATCAGATCATCAGATACAGACCCGGGTAATATGTATTGTACACTGGGCGCATAAACATGTTATCAATGCAAAAAATAATCTGTCGTTATATAATACACCTATCGCGTAATACGGTCCTGTTGACTGTGCTTGAAATGTGTTTGTTTCGTCACATCCAAACATCTATACAGCATCATTGGCTGTCTAAATACAACTTTCAACAGCAAAAGATGATCTTGTTAAAATCTCTCCCCACACTAAATATGCACCTTTAACCATAATACATACCCACCATCACTAACAGCTATGGCTTTGAAAGCAGTTGCTGGACACATTCACATCACCGCTTGTTGCATGTTTGTCTGATTAAATCGACCTCATTTCCTGGCTGCATTACATTTCTTAATATTTATATACCTTTTTTTTACCTCAAAACTCATGAGATGAAAAACACAAATTTAAAATTTGGCGTACTTGGCGGGACGAGAACCAGACATCGAATACAACAATCTGGGGTCACTGCAACATAATTAGATCAAATAATGAAAAGCAGGAAACTGCATTTACAACAAGTTTTTGGAAGTTTCGAAGTGGTGATGAGTGTCACTTAATATAGATCTCTGCGTAGTTGCAAATCCAATCTGGACAAACAGGATGAGGAAGTGTGTTCGATACATTATATTTAGCACTACACATTTAGTTTGAGGTTTTCTCGCTTCTGCAATAACAAGGAAACTACTGAGCCGACAAATAAAAGCTTATTTAGACTCAGTGACAGAAGGAATACTGAATTTTTTTTCTATTGCTTTTAGAGACTTTTTTTTCCCCCAGGCTAAAAGTGAAGGGAAATACCAGAGTAATATTCAGATGGCTAGCCCTGACGTGTTAAATAAAAGACCAAAAAAAAAAATCAAATTTAAAAAACCCACACAGACATAAATCCCTTTATAAAAGCATCTCTCTCTATGATAGTTTGGGGTCTTCAGGTACGGAGGAGGACTGGAAGTCGAGAAGGGAGATGGTGGGGTCTTCGGATGGTTCGAAATACGAGTCGTCCTCCAGCTCCAGAAGGATGGGCAGTTCGGTGTCGCAGGTCTCAGTCGTGACCGGCTCGGGAAGAATCACGGGCTGAGCTGTGTACTGGACCAGTTGCTTGCCTGAAAGGACATTTATTTTAGCATTTTCAGTTGATCATGCTAGTTGGACCCATATACACATTTATATATATATATAAAGAGTTCAGATGCAAAAGCCTCTAAATGCCATTTGAAATTTTCTTCTTTAATGATGATTTTTATCAAACTTGTTTATTTAAGTTCAGTAATTTCACTTAAATGGCAATGATAATTACCTATTAATTGTTATTCAAGTGAAATTACTGAACTTAAATATACAAGTTTGATAAAAATCATTAAAGAAGAAAATTTCAAATGGCATTTAGAGGCTTTCGCATCTGAACTCTTCATATATGGTAACACTTTAAAATAAGGTTCGTTAGTTAACATTAGTTAACTACATTAGTTAATATGAACTAATAATGAATATTAGCCATGAAATATTAGCCTGCAGATGAAAACTAGCCATTTGGCTAACTCTGGCATATTTTGACTTGTCATGTTAATATGCACTGTCCTTGTAATAAATAAAAAAAATAAAAAAATAAATAAAAATAGCACATATACAGCATTTGTTAATCTTTGTTAATGTTATTTTCAACATTTACTAATACTTGATTAAAATCTTGTTACCATTAGTTAATGCACCGTGAACTAACATGAACAAACAATGAACAGCTGTATTTTCATTAACTAACATTAACAAAGATGAGAAAAATGCATTAACAAATGTATTGGTCATGATTAGTGCATGTTAGTAAATACATTAACTAATGTTAACTAATGAACCTTATTGTAAAGTGTTACCTTATATATATATATACATATACACACACACAGATACATACATACATATAAATATATATAAATATATATATATATGAAGAGTTCAGATGCAAAAGCCTCTAAATGCCATTTGAAATTTTCTTCTTTAATGATGATTTTTATCAAACTTATATATTTAAGTTCAGTAATTTCACTTAAATGGCAATGATAATTACCTATTAATTGTTATTTAAGTGAAATTAATGAACTTAAATATACAAGTTTGATAAAAATCATCAGTAAAGATGAAAATTTCAAATGGCATTTAGAGGCTTTTGCATCTGAACTCTTCATATACACACAGATACATACACATATATATATATATATATATATATATATATATATATATAGCAGACAGCGTCAGTCATTATAATCTGAACACACATCTGTATACTGTATCAGTGTAGACAGCATCAGTGATTAGAATGGCTTCTTTCTGCTTTTGACGCGATGCTCACCTTCAGTGTGGGCAAATGTCAACCGTTCAGCAAATGAACGCCAGTGGGCGGGGCCTATGATGCGATAATGTAAAACTATTCATCGATGTCTTGCTCTGGAGGCATCGGTCATATGCAAATGTATTTGTCCATGTGATGTCACATGTCATCCAATATCAAAACGAGCCATTTTTGAAGCTGGATTAAATTAATTATTTGTTTATTTATAATGAAGACGACACTTTACGCTACAATGTTTTAATGGTACAAAAGATCAAGACAAATTTGATATTTCATGTCATGACCCCTTCAAAATACATCCAGAATACCTGAATTTTCAGTGTCTGCACTAGATTCGGGTTCTTTCACTGGTTCAGGTGACAGAAGATCCTGGATCTGTAAAGAGACCGCAGACACAAGATTAAAAGACGAGCAATTTTTCAGATTTCTGCAGATTAAATGTTAACCAATGGTCAGCGGGGTTGGTCATTTTAGAGAAAAGTCTTTTTAGGGACCTGAGATGAACATTAGCATTTGCTAAATTCTCAATGTGCAATTTTTCGATTTTTTCTTGCATGAACCCGCAGTTACACATCAGTATACGTGTTTAGCTGTCTGATATACATCTGTTGTATGAAACCACAGCAAATATTTGCAGTTAAACAGGTTTGTTCAAAGTCTTTACATTCTGCGAGCTCCTTGCAAAAAAGAAAGAAAAAGAAAAAAACATCAAACATACACAAGCAAGGCTGTCCAGATCCACATCAGCAGAAGATGATGTGAAAATCTGTGAAACAAACAGAACAACATCAAGAATACAGTACTGCTGACATACAAAAATATATAACTGATACAATTAATTGCTATATATACAATAGAGCCCGACCGATAAAGGATTTTGAAGGCCGATACCGATACAAATATTTTTTGGTTTTAAAATCCGATATATCGGCCGATATTTTTTATTTAAGAAAGTCGCAACAAAGCATTAACAGATTTCCCTAACATTAGTTATTTGAGTTAACCAAAATAATATGATAATGCATTTTAAAAAGAAACTTGTTTCTTTTATTGTCACAACTGAACAGACGGATGATAGTGGCATTAGCTAGCTTTATGGTTAGCTAGTCTATGATGAACCATAATTTAGCAATGGATTACATCACTGCAAATTGTAAAACATACGTTTTCAATATAACAGGTCAAGGAAACTTCCGCCGACCACAAATTTTGAGTTAAGAGAACTGATGGGGATTTTCTTTTAATTGTTATTCAAGCAATGCATGTATCGTGACCAACTCAACGAGTGTTGCCAACAGGGACATGTAGAGTGCCCTCTGGTGGACAAACTACACAACACTCATGACATGGTTCAAACGCGTTTCGTCCGTTTTGATTTAATTTTTGAAATATTCATATATCGGCCATTATAACTGCTGATACCGATAGTTTGAAAAATGCCTAATATCGGCCGATAATATATATCGGCCTGCCGATATATCGGTCTGGCTCTAATACACACACACAAATCTTTTTAAGATCATCATAAAATGATATTCAAACGATAATTACGTCAAAGAGAGGCGATGTGTCAAAGTTGATGGACTGAGCATTGAGGATCTGCTGAAGGTTCTCTAATCCATAGTCAATGGTCTCTAGATGCTCACTCAGTTCTGCCCTGAAAGAAAGAGGAAGCAAAGAAAATCATCTCTCAAATGCTGCACACCAAGCAGACAACTCCACTCGCCAAATCCCAAACAAATCTCATTTAATGAACACACTCCTATGAGAACAGGAGACAGGCCGGTCCCCAGAAAGATCAAAACTGTGGTGATGATGATGATGACGACGTCAAAGAGAGAGGCCGGGCTGCTGACCTCGTCACATTAGTTTCCAATCAGACGTAGGGATTCAATGGGTAGTTCAATGGGAGCACAAAACATGCGTCTTCGTGCCATTCCACTTCTCAAATTAAGCCCACGAACACACTACTCACACTCTCTACGACCTCCAACACACCTGAGCCCACCAACCGACCAATCAGCATTCAACGCTTCTCGGGTATAATAGGGCAGAAATGAGCGAATGTTTCTGGCAATCTGATAAGCTAAGTGGGGTTAGCATCTATCTGATCAAACACAGCGACAGACGTTCTGGGGACGGCTCGGCCGACTGTAATGCTGACCCGGGAGGAGGCCTGAGGTGGAGAGCTGAGGTGGAGAAGCTGGAGAAAAGGCGAGAGATCTCAGACATCTGAGGATAACTGAAAAGACAGAAGCACAACATGGTACTGGAGACAGCAAGGGGCGCTACACACATCAACGGGCTTCTGCCACGGTCCAAAACAGGGTGGAGCGGGAACTGGACAATGTGAATTGGGTTTTTATGAGTCCAGGTGTTTCGAAGCCGAATGGTTATACAGGTTGTAAAACTGAATTATTAAAAATATTTCCTCAATGAATGTTCTTGGACAAAGCTCAAACTCTAGTCTTAGATCTTCAAGCCAATCTGTGTGTAGGTGGACCACCAGAACCAATATAGTTGGTTAAGCACATTTTAGTCCTAATAAAAAAATAATTATTCAAATTAGACTTATTTTAATTAAACTGCTGTACAAATCTAATGTAATCAATCTCAGTTCAAGAGAACTCAGTTGCATAATTTGGGCATTTGGATCATGCTAGATAGTGCTGTCACATTATGGATTTCATTCATCTGCAAAAAGAAATCAAAAATCAATAAAGTACACATTAGCCTCCGCTTTAATTACTTATAAGGCCCCTTAAATTATGCGTCATACGGGCCGTAAGATGAAAATGTGCTGGCTCGCATGAATATCTGGAAAAGTATTAGTATGCGTCACAGTCTGCCAGACTAAACCGAGCAGCCAAACGCCACAAATAAGTCAAATTAGTTAAGAGCAATGCTTCTGCAGGACTCTTTAAAAAAGCTGCCGCTCATTAGTTGAACTTTTCTGATTTTGCCCATTAAAAAGTGAAAATCCTGTCATTAAATACTCACCCGTTTCATTAAAAAACGGCCTTTTTTAACGCAAGGCAGAAAGCATGGGACGCTCTCTTCTATACTATGAAAGTGGATGGTGACCAAAATTTAAATGAGTAGTTAAAAAACTTTTGCTGATAATTTACTCACCCCCATGTCATCCAAGATGTCCACGTCTTTCTTTCTTCAGTCGAAAAGAAATTAATGTTTTCGATGAAAACATTCCAGGATTTTTCTCCATATAATGGACTTCAATGGGGTCCAAACGGTTCAAGATCCAAATGAGAGTTTCAGTGCAGCTTCAAAACGACACCAAACGATGAATAATAATATCTAGGACCCTTCGAGTCATGACTTGAAAAAAGATATGTTCATTTTGATGAACAGGAGAGTCACGAACGCTCATCACAGAACAGAGAAAGGCGAGGATTTGTGCTAATAAAATATAAACATTTTAATTTATTTATTTTAATTGACGATCGTTTGCCTTATTCCCGTATTCATCGTCTGGTGTCCTTTAAAGCTGCACTGAAACTCTCATTTGGACTTTGAACCGTTTGGTCCCCATTGAAGTCCATTATATGGAGAAAATCCTGGAATATTTTCATCAAAAACCTTAATTTATTTTCGCCTGAAGAAAGAAAGACGTGGACATTTTGGATGACATGGGGGTGAGTAAATTATCAGCAAAAGTTTTTACTCCTTTAAGCCACAAAATGGACCATAAAGTGTCAATAAAGGCCATTCAATTAATCTAAAAAGATTCAAATGAGCACATAAAACCTTGCCTTTGGTTTCAAATCTCATTGATGAAGTTTATGACAAATGTGAGAATTGTTGTTTGCAGACAGTCGGAAAAAAGAAGTCACTGCAGAAGAATGGAGAAATGAAGAAACTGCCAACAAACGTTCGACTCTCACATGTATTATGAAAGTGCTATAAAAGAGGCCACCATCCACTTTGACATTACTGAAGACAGCAACTTCTTTGTGAAGGCGAGCGAATGATGACAGAACTTTCACTTTGAGAGATCAATCCCAGCTAAAGCACTGGTGGTGGTTGAGGAGATCCATGTAAAAGCGCTTTGAGTACCCAGAAATGTAACAAATTCTTCTTAATTCTTATTATTGAAGCCATTATAGGATCAGGCTAGGGGAATAGTGACTGGTACTCAGCAAGAGAAGTCTATGGACTCAAACGGAGCAGCGGTAGTGTGTTTCTTCTAAGCAGATGTAAACATGTTGATGAAGCTCACTTGTCGAAGCAGGCCACACTCAAACACTTCTGCTCGTTGGGAGGTGGGGTCGGGGCGCTGACGGGCTCGTTGTTCTCCTGAAGGATGGAATTGATGAAGGTTGTGGGGGAAAGGGGCGTGTCCACAGGTACACCCAATCCCGCCCCCACTTCCACTTCAACAGGACACACCTCCTCCACCTCAGGACTGTGGGCGGGGCTAGACGGCTCCTCCTTGATATGGACCAATGGGCTTGTTCTGTGTTGAAAAAGGAGATTCGTTATAACAATAGCAATGAGACTTTCGGCACCAGGGCAAATGACTTAGGGGGATTGAACATTTTTGTTAATTATTTAGCGTTAAACTAGTTAACACTAGTCGGCTACCAGAGCTCATCTCGCCCACTCTAGTCAATGCTTGTGTTAACACCAACCGCGACGCTGCGTTTCAGAAGCGGCTCTCCGCACAGCTTCACTAAAGATAGGTGCTTAAGGCCAATTTATACTTCTGCGTAGGGTGCGCGCAGTAGGTACGGCGTAGCATACGCACAGACGCGTCCCATACCGCGTACCCTTCGCCGTCGCCTGACGCGCACCTCTTCAAAAATGTAACTACACGTCGCGACGACGCGGACCGCAAGAAATTTTCTTCTAGAATGATGATTTTTATCAAGCTTGTATATTTAAGTTCAGTGATTTCACTTAAATGGCAATGATAATTACCTATTAATTGTTATTTAAGTGAAATTTCTGAACTTAAATATACAAGTTTGATAAAAATCATCATTAAAGAAGAAAATTTCAAATGGCATTTAGAGGCTTTTGCATCTGAACTCTTCATATATAGGCTATATATGTTTGAAATAAAATTTCTTGACCAGTTTTGCAAGATTAACTCATTGCCTTTATAAGAGAATCTCAAACTTGCCTATCTTCAATCCACTCCTCCGTGGCCACAGGGTTGGACTGCGCCAGTTCAGTGATGTCAGAGATGATTGGCCCGGTCTTCACAGGCGATTCTGAGGTGTAAACACCCGTTCCTGTGAAAGCTGTGCTGGAGGGCTGCAGACAACAAAACATACATTACACTTAACAAATCTGGTCATCATTGGGAAGTTCAGCTCCCGGTTTGAGACAGAAGCATGCAGGACTCACAGAGATGGCAGGAGACGACTCGAGCGAGTACTGCCGAGAGTATTTGGGCATAGAGTGTGTGGAGCTGCCATCGTTCAACATCAGGGGCCTGTGACCAAACAGAATGAAAGAAAGAGAAAGAAAAATCCCCCCAAAAAATAAAGAGGCAAGAGACAATGGGTGAATACCTCAAAATTAAAACATTTCACATACTGCAATACTACAGGTAAAGAGGACCTATTATGCCCTTTTCGAAAGTCTTGATTTTGTTTTTGGTCGTCTTAATGCTTAAATGTGTAAAAAAACACATTATTTCCCCCATAGTTCAAGCTCCTCTCTTCCCAGTCTGTCGAAGCCCCTCCTTCTGAAAAGCTTACAGTGCTCTGATTGGTCAGCTGAACCAGTTCGCTGTGATTGGTCCACCACTTCGAGCGTACTTTGGAAATGTTACGTAAACTCAACCTCAGGCCTCGTCCACTTTAAAGCACTTAGATGGGAATTATTTAAATGAGGAATATTGTGACGTGTTCGTTCCCAGAAGAAAACTCAAGACTTCGGGGAGTTCAGAAACAGGTTCACACTGATACAAGTGATAATTACCTTTGAAGTGACTTTTTGCTTTGGAACATTGCAGACCCTTTTTCAAGCTCAAACAGCAACATTACACACTAAAAGAGGTTGAAAATGTAAAAAAAGCATGATAGGTCCTCTTTAAGTAGGAAGACAGTGACAGATATAAATGTGGATCAGTCTGAGTGTTTTAATCTGAGGTGGACTTGCATCTTTCGTTTCACTCCCAGGACTCTGTTGGACCGTGCGAGAGTGATCAGGAACTGAATGAGCTGCAGAAACAAAGAATCACAGCTTGACATGCATTTAACTGACATTAAATATTTACATATTGAGAATATAAGACACCATTTTAAAAGTGTTTGCAAAATGACCATTTCACACCTTAAGTTGTCATTATGCGTATGCCATTTCATGTTTAAGTGTTAAAGGTTGCCTGTGAGGCTGGAATAAACTCCAAAAGCAGAAGGTTCAAATAGTTTGAGGAACGAAGGCATGCGTCACTCTGAAAGCAGGTCATCTGAGTTTACCTTATTGACGACTTTCTGCTGTTGAGAGTGTTTCTGTCTCAGAGTGGCAACTTCCCTCCAGAGCGCCTCATTCTCACTGCGGGACAGAGACTAGATTTAATCGAGTTTTACAGTTAAAAATGTGAACTTTTCATTCATGTTCTGATGTTTCATTCACAGCGAACGAGAGCACTAATCTATGTTGTCACTGACTGGTGTGTCTTTAGGGTGATTGAGTAAGGCTTGCTTCTTTTAAGCTCCCCTGACACTGATAAAATGCCATTTTAAGTGCGCTCACGAGTCCAATATGGCCACAGACACATGGCCTGAACACAGAGGAACAAAAGCACAGGCTAATACTGTACATGGAAAAATAACCAAAATAAAGGGGATATTTGAAATCATGGACACATTTCTTTCTTTTAATGACAAAAAAATCTAAAAATAAAAACCTATGGTCTATGTACGGTCCTGCCATCAGCACAGCTGCGTTGATCTGATAAGGAAGCGCAAAATATAGGAAACTTTACACGTATATATATATATGGTTTGTTACATGATCTATAATGTAGCTTAAGACCAGATAACACAGCTATATTCATGGCAAAAACAAAACAAAAATACAGGAATCAATAACTAAACTATCAAAAAAAGTATTAAAGTCCTAAAACTTCATTTATATATTAGAGCCAGACCGATTTATCGGCAGGCCGATATTATCGGCCGATATTAGGCATTTTCCAAACTATCGGTATCGGCAGTTATAATGGCCGTTAAATTAATATTTCAAAAATAAAATAAAAACGGACGAAACGCGCTTCAACCATGTCATGAGTGTTGGAGTTGTATAGTTTGTCCACCAGAGGGCACTCTACACCGTCCCTGTTGGCGACACTCGTTGAGTTTTTTTCTTGTTCAACACTTTTGACAATGTGACTCAAGTATTGTTTAATAGCGCGTGACAGTTATAGCAATGAGACGGATCATCTCTCCTTGGCCTGTTATATTGAAAATGTATGTTTTACAATTTGTAGTATGACGTAATCCATTGCTAAATTATGGCTCATCATAGACTAGCTAACCATAAAGCTAGCTAATGCCACTATCATCAGTCTGTTCAGTTGTGACAATAAAAGAAACTTTTAAAGTTTCTTTTTAAAATGCATTATCATATTATTTTAGTTAAAACTCACAAATAACTACAAATAACTAACGTTAGGGAAACCTGTTAATGTTTTGTTGCACCTTTCTGAAATATTTTTTTTTTAAATATCGGACGATATATCGGAATATCGGATTTTAAAACCAACAAATATTTGTATCGGTATCGGCCTTCAAAATCCTTCATTGGTCGGGCTCTAATATATATATATATAAAGTGCAAATAGAAATATACGTCATAAAAGCTAAATATAAATATTTATACATATGATCTCATGATATAATAAATCTACAAAATACATTATAAACTAATTTGAACAATGCTTAGACTTCACTAAGTAAACTATACATTTAATAAATATAAAAAGTAGATATATTATGTAAATGGTACAAGCTGTGGTTGCATTTAAGAAAATTCACTTTCTACTTCAAAATTTCACGTTTATTTCAATGTGCTGCTTGCAGTTTTTCAAATTATTAGTAATATTTAGGAGCGAATTTTTGAGTGAAAATGCTTTCAAAGTAAATCCAATTGATTTTTTCAGTGTAAATGTGAGGCACAGGTGATGTGACAACAGAGGGCCATGGACTCCCTGCGGACGGGTCTCTTATATGGAGATTACGAGAGGACTGTAAAACAGCAGCGTGCAGGAAGAAGCTCTTTGAGAGTCCCTCCTCCGATCATGTGTCCTGCCCCCCGCTCACCCCTCAGCAGATGGGACGGGGGTTTACAGGGGCAGGTGTGGATTCCTGTAACAGGAGGATTTAGACCTCTCTCCGTTTACTCAGAAAGACACAAACTCGAGGCAATTTCCTTCAAAACCTCATGCATGCCAAAACAGAAACCAAAAAAAAAGAATGAAAAATATATATTTTCAAAGTTAATCATGAGTAATTTTCAAAATTAAAATTAATTTTTAAAAATTATTTAAAAATGTATTCGATTTTAAAATCCGGAAATAATTGAATTTAGCAATAAATGCATAATGAATGCTATATAACTTGATTTATGAATAGAGCTGCATGGTTAATCATTAAAGATCGCAATCTTCATTCAAACACCCATGTGATCTTACTCCTAAATGACAGTGGCTATTAAACCATTGACAATATCACACTGGAACATTCAGATCTGCAGTTATCAGATATGAAACAGCTTCACAAAGCATTTCTGTTTTACAAACATTCAGATTGTCCCATAAGTACTGTGATAAAAGTTGAGTTTGGATTGAAAAACACTGATGTCTATGCTAGCTTGAAAGTAACTACTTGACGCTTCAAATCAAGATTGTATTAGTTAAATCATTACGTCACCAGTCTCCGCCAACAAGTCAATGAATCATTTGTTCAACTTATTCGTTTAAAATACTGATTCATCAAGTAAAGTCTTTAGAGGAGTCATTGAATCACTCATTTAATAATAATTTAATTCGTTAAAATTGATTAAACATTCTAAAATAGACTGCACCAATTCACATTTTTGCTGAATTTTTTCTAATAAATTGTAAAAGCAAAAAAAAAAAAATATATATATATATATATATATAAATATATATATATATATACACGATTCTCAATCATGCAGCTCTATTTATGAATAAACTAGCCTTTAGTTTACACAAATACAACACAGAAATATACATTTTAAATAAATAATAAATTAATTTAAATATTTTTTTAACATTACATTCCTTTAAATATCTTTAATTTGGCATGTACAATCAATTTTTTTTAAACATACTCATTAAGGTTCTGGAACATGAGATAGACTGCTGTTAATTTATTTAAATTTTTTAAGATGATTTGTCAGATTTCAGAAATTTGTAACCAATTCAGAGGACTCATTATTGCAGGGGTGATGCTTTCATGCTGACATCATCAGTAATATTCAGCCTGTGTGTACCAGCTGACCGCACAAACACGTGACCAAAACCCTAGAGACCCGTCCAGCTGCGAGAGGGACAAAATGCCTTTGGAAAAGCTCAGAGCAGCTGCCGAGCCACGTCACACTGGCGCGAGGACGCCTGCCCGCTTCCGAGCCGTGGCTAACAGGGTTGAAAAAGGTGACGCACAAACCCGGCAGAGATTAACCCTCATTCACGTCCCAAGCGTTACACTTTGAACAGCTACTGATCTCAACCTGGCGTAACACTGGATGAGCGCTAACCGCTTGGCTGACAAGTAGCAGTCAAACACAGACTTCATTAAAGGGACAGTTCACATAAAAAATACAATTCTGGCATCATTTACTCACAACTCAAGTTGAGTTTCTTTCTTCTGCTGAACACAAAAGATGATATTTTGAGGAATATGTGTTAGCAAACAATTGATGGACCCCATTGACTTCCATAGTATGGAAAAAAGTACCATGGAAGTCAATGGCTACTGTCAACTGTCTGGTTTATGACATTTCTGACATCATCTTTTGCGTTCAGAAGAAGAAAAATGAAAACAATTTTATTTTTTTGGGGTGAACTATCCCTTGAAAGTCAGTTAGATGCTGAACTAAACCGGAAGAGAATGAGGAAGTGGAGATCATGTGTTTTGGCCAAAACTACTCTACCTTTTAAAAGTTAGGAATAATTTAGATTTTTATGTTGTTTTTTTTAAAAAAACATTCATTTATTTGATGAAAAATACAATAAAAACAGCAATATTGTTTTCTATTTGAATATTGTAAACTGTACTTTATTAGTGTGATCAGTGTCACATGATCCTTCAGAAATTATTCTACTATGTTGATTGAAAAATTATTTTATTTCAGGATTCACTGATGAATAGAAAGTTAAAAAAGCACAGCACTCACTTGAAATAGAATATTTTGTAACATTATAAATATCTTTACGGTCACTTTTGATCATCAAAATGAACGAATCTTTTTCCGAGTCAATTCGTTCGTTTCATTCGTTGAATGAACCTAATGACTCGGAAAAAGATTCTTTCATTTTGATGAATGAGTTCGAACAGGAGAGTCACGAACGCTCATCACAGAACAGAGCAAGGCGACCATTTGAGATTATAAAACTTAAACTTTGTTATTTATTTATTAAATGAGCGATTGTTTCGCTTGATAAGACCCTTATTCATCGTTTGGAATCATTTAAAGCCCTTTAAACAGTTTGCATTTTGCACTGAAACTGTCTTTTGGACCTTGAACCGTTTGGTCCCCATTGAAGTCCATTATATGGAGAAAAATCCTGGAATGTTTTCATCAAAAACCTTCATTTCTTTTCCACTGAAGTAAGAAAGACATGGACATCTTGGATGACATGGGGGTGAGTAAATTATCAGCAAAAGTTTTTTTTAAAAGTGAACTACTCCTTTAATACTTTTTAAATAAATTGTAATAATAGTTCACCAAATTACTGTTTTTACAGTATGTTTGATCAAATCAATGCAGTCTTGGTGAGCAGAATAGACTCTTTCAGACCGGTAGTGTGCATGACTTACTGTTTGAGGGTGCTGATTTTGGAGTCCATCGACTCCTGCTTGCCCTTCATGAGCTGGACATCTGTGATCATTTTAGACACGTCGTCAGAGTTGTACTTGATGTCCTCGTGTTTAATATTCGACACCTGCAGATGGACACAATGAAAACGTCAAAGATTGGAGGGGTGAGAGGAGTCCGTCATGACCCGTTTGTGAACCCTCACGTAGTGGAAAGCATGTGCTAACGGTTTGATTTCCGCCCTGAGCTGGACATTTGGACAGAGCGGGAGAGGAAAGACTATAAATCCGGAGGGTTGGAAAGTGGCGGCAATCGAGCATCAGTGTGACGCCAGATTAAGTGCCCCACAACCTCGGGCCTCTAATCCACACGTCTCCAGCTGGCTTCAACTCAGACCTGCTGATTATCACAATCGGTCACCGAGCCAACGGGAAACCCAGGAGAGCACATGGAGAACACACTTTCGCTTGATCTGGCTACCCATCACCAGACTCTGCACACCGAGAACCGGAAAAATCCAGAATTGGAGTGTTTTTTTTAAATGGTTCCTATTTCCATTTTCTCAACAATATCTGATTTAGTGAAATGAGCTTCAGATTTCATGAAAGAAATTTTTATTTAACACATCTAAACTTGCAATTACTTATTCTATATATATTCCTTCAGTAATAGTACAGTAAATATGACATAGTTAGCAAAGGCCAAACAACGATTAGCTTATTATTTACATATTTTTAACTATTTTAAATGGCAAGGACACAGTGCAAAGGCAGCTGCATAGTTTCATGTGCAAAGTTTTTATGTTCTATAATGGGATTTTATACAGACAACTATCTGCAGATTTGTGTTTTATTTCTGACTGTTACAAACTAGGGTTATCAACGAATACAATTAACTGATTTAGGATTAATCCAATGATTTCTGGCCAGGGTTTATAAATAAGAATAGGATCAAATTTAGTTCGTTTGAAAAAAAATTCTCCAGAAAATATGTTTAAAGATAACAAAACAGCATATTTTGAAAATAATTCTGGACCCTAGTTTGAAAAACGTTTATTAAAAACCAGAAAATAGCAAAAACATCAATCAAGTGTACATGACAGAAAATAATGACGAAAACCACAGAAGAAAGCCAGCTGCACATCTACATTACAAACTACACGTAATGTTGGAAAAGCCTCTGCCTTGGATTTGTAATCCAACTTTATTAAGGATTTCCCTGTGGGAGAATATAATTCTGCTAAATATTCATTTATAAGTGAAACACGAGCAGCAGGGACTCCCCAAAAACCCAGACCAATTAATACCGCATTACTGGTCTGACATCAGAACTGTGGCCTAGGGATGGGACGATAACCGGTTTCACGATAAACCGTGATAAAATGTACTGACGGTTAGTATTATCGTTTAGAATTTAATTATCATTAAAACCGTGTTTGATTATCGCGATTTTAATAACTCACTGAATCCTGACGGCCAGTCTGACGCAGGCGCGCAGCACACAATATTTTTTTAAATTACTATTCGAGAAGGAATGGTGGAAGGCAGTGACCGTGCATTTTTCAGCCTTTTAAGAAGACCAAATCTGAGGTGTGGTCATACAAAAGTCCTGAGGGAAACTTGATCGAGGATGGTCACCCTGTCTGCCGAACAAAAAGTCACTGCAAAGAGAAACACTCAAATCTGCCGAGTCGTCTTTGTGATCGTCACCGAACGCAAGGCAAGTTAACTTTGACTCAATGCCAAAACTATGTCTGGGAAACAATTGGACACGAAATGTTGTTTTGAGTTGAAACATTTTATGTCACTCACTTGAAATAGACGTGAAGCTTCCGCGAAGAAAAGTTCGTAGCATGTGGATTTGAGCCAAAGACGAACGAACAACTTCAAACAAGACTATTATTAAGAGTGATATTTTAAGGGATAGTAAAGTATAGATACATCACGTATTAAACCGATTTTATTTTACCACATAATTACGGGGACATATAGAATTGATAATGAGATTAGCTAATGTTTTAATCTTACCTGTTTATGAATTCATTTTGTTAAAACAATCGTCCAGACAAGATATATCACACCAATATTATCAAAACTCTGTAAGCAATAAATCAAATATGATTTAATTTTTGCAATACAATCAAACACCGGAGACGCAAGACGGCAAGTTGTATTTGAATGAACAAGAGCGCGCGTCCGTTGTGATATGGATGTGCGCTGTGTAATAATGTGTTGCTATTGACGACGGGCATTATAAAGAAGCAAATGCCATAGAATAGAATCTTGCTTAAAAAACTGCATAGGGAGACTTGTTTTATTTGTTGTTTGTTGATTTTCAATTATAAAACTTGTTGAAATGTTTTCAGTGTGAGCATCAGTTCTTTTTGAGCACTTTCATAAATTTTTAACAAAACCGTGATAATATTGATAATCACGATTATTTTGGACACTATAATCGTGATATGAAATTTTCATACCGTCCCATCCCTACTGTGGCCTAAATGATCTTCAGCCTGACTGTAAGCTGCTTTGGATTAAAAAAAACCCTTCAAAATACCAACTAATTATAAAAACCTGCAGACCATGCCGCTCAAATATTCTCACATCGAAGAGGTTTAGATGTTTCAGCAAGATTTCCACAAATAAATAAGAGACGTTTCTACTTACCGTTGTTACTTTCCTCTTGATATTCTCCAGCAGATTCTCCTGTCCGCGGATGAAATACGGATGCTGGAATTCTGTGTCGTCCTTCTCCGGTTTCACCAGCCCTCCCTGTTCGATGTGGACAACTTTCCGAAAACCATCTACAAGAAAGACATTAATGTGTGTTGTAAGCACAAATTCTGTCATGTTGAAAGGGACCTAAACAAAATGTATGAACATATGTGTGTGTTTCTGCAGTGTGTACACACAACCACCCTATTGTGGTAAAAAATCCATCCACAATATTTTCCCCATAATCTGAAATAGTGTCTTAAAGGTGCTCCCAAGGGTGCTCTAAATGTTTTTTTATGCCATTTTTTTTTTTTTTTTTTTTTTTGTCAAATACAACAAACATCTCCTCACTATCCACTAGCTGCCTGTCCCCCACTGTAAAAAAAAATAAATAAATAATAAACGTATATATATATATTATATATATTATATATATATAATATTATATATATTAATAAACTATTCAATATATATATATTATATTATATATATATATATTATATATATATATATATATATATACACATTTATATATATTAATAAACGTTATTCAATATATATATATATATATATATATATATTATATATTCATATAATAGAGTGATTTTCTTTTTTTCTTATATCATTAGGTTCTGTTAACAGCGTTATTACGCTCCTGTCACTTTAATACACAGATCTAATATACACACACACAATATACGGACATAACCAACTGTGTTTATGTGAACTTTGCGTATTTTTGAAAAACGTTTGTGTATTTGACAGTTTAAGTGAAATAAGAGGTAAAGGAGAACTCAGTTTAATACTCACGCAACACACGCTGTCTGCTTCAGAAGTTTAAACTGACATGGCTTTAAAACTCAATAAACTTAATAAACTTTCATGATGACAAAGAACTGCAATGTCACCAGATTGAGATAACCAATGTTTTGTACGTTTTTGGCAGAGTATCCAGAAAGAAGAATGAGTTGTACAGGCTCCGCCCCCTTCTGAAAAGTGGGGAGGGGAGAAGCAGCTCATTTGCATTTAAAGATGCATGCGCGAAAACGGCATGTTTTCGCTTTAATTAAAAAATTGGGACATTTTTAATGATCTGTGGGGGTTTTTGAGCTGAAACTTGGCAGACACATTCTGGGGACACCTGAGACATATAATGTCTTGTAAAAAGGGGCATAATAGGTCCTATTTAAATGTTTTCTGCTTACAAATTAATGAGACATCTAGAAAAACATAAAACAATTAAACTGTGAAAAGTGCTCTATG